AATTTAATTTCACAACGCTGTACACGGTTAGCTGTTGCGCTAGGTTTTATTCAATGGCCATAGTGGCGAGGCTGTCTACTGCGACAACACGGCTCCAACCCGTGCACTAGCATCGACTGTTAACATAGATTCGCAAGCCATATCAAAATGTATTACCCGACTAAACGCTACATTTTGTTCGGCTTCCCATTTCCAATCCTTTTTCCCTTTTTCAACAATTTATACAGGGGTGCCAAATGTGCACTTAAATTCTTTATAAACTTCCATAAGAAGTTATCATACCAAAGAAAGATTTAAGTTCTGAGACGTTATTTGGCCGGAACATGGTTACCACTGCGTTAACATCAGAGTAAAAAATAATGTCTTCTGTATTGATTATAAACCCTAAGTACTTAAATTCCTTACCTAAAAATAAAAAATAAATAAATAAAGACAGAGGTATATTTTGCACCGTAGGTAAAACACCGCACATGCGCAGTAGCATCTGAATGTAAACAGCCATAACCATAGGCGTCGCAGAAGTGGGTCACTTCATATTTATCAAATAAATATACGAGTACCTAACTGCCGATCGTTCTAGCGCCCTTTACGCTTTTTATAAATTGACCGAGATCTCAGCATCGGGTTTTCAGCATAGTTTCGTACTGCATCATTTATGATATGACCGTTTGCACCGACAAATTTAAGTGGAGGTTAGCTTACGCGTAGCTTAAAATCCATGGCAACCATTGTCTCAATAATCGTTGCTATGGATTTTAAACTACGCTAAGCTAAGTTCCACTTAAATTTGATAATAAAATAAAAATAAAAAATAAATAAAATATTGGAAAGCTATTCACGAAGTTGATAATTTACGAATTTCCTTTAACTGTAAATCAATCGTGATCACGGTAATGGTAATGAAAATGCACTTTTTGTACTACTACGTTTACTACAAATAAAACGACACGGCAGTTTAAATATTACTTTCGTAAAAACTACTCGTATTTTCTACTGTAAGAACAAAAATGCGATCTGCAACACCATAAAAGCACAGTAATATCGGAAATAACACGCTACTAAATTCCGGGAATGTCAACTGGACAGACAGTGCGCATGATCGGTATTCTATTGTATAGATATCTCTCTCATACATGTTGGTACAGATTTAATCGCTAGACGTTATATCTTTGGAATATATTGGCTCTCACATTTACACCAAAATGAGCAGTACAGTCGTCTTTCTGGAACCAAACCTCTTGATCTTCATGTGCACGGTCGGCGACATTTATCAAAATGTCTCTATTGCTTTTCAACCGGACTTCGCCTTTGGGGTTGCAGTCTATTGCATATATACGTGCATCTGCATCATTTAAATTATATAAATAGGTACCACCTAATCGTATTTGTGAACTGCTGCATCACCCAATAAAGCTATATTATTATTATGTTTTTGGAATTTAAATCACCTACTATCTCAAATTGCCCAATTATTTGTGTAGTAAAAATACCAGCCCCAATATTAATTTTCTGAGGGAATTGCGTTCTTGTGTTACATTACAGTTTTCCACAATAGTTCTTGTAGTTCTGTAGAATCCGGGGTTACTATTCTTAATACCATTTCTGCCAAAGCATGATTTAAGTTTCTTGTATTGCTTCCTCTGTACTTTGGTGCCACAGAACCAGTTTCTTCAAATGTTATAACGTAATTTTGTATTGTTTTTGACGGAATTCGGCGGTTATTGAATTTTACGGCAAATAAATTACTCTTCTAAGACTATCGGCAGGGTAAAAGGTTTTAACGATATACACCTTTTCTTGAATTGAATAAATTATTGTTTATGGTTATAATAGAACTTATGTTGAAGCTGTCAATCATTTGTCAATATGACACACAAATACATGTCATGACAGCTCATATTTTTAGCACATTTTCCAAAAGGAAAATGAACGCTATTGTCACTTCCTTCCCGAGTTATTACCGATTCTGTGCCGCGAAAATGCGCTTTCGTCGGGCGCAAGTCACCGCATCTATACTAGTTTTTAAATGTGTGTAATTTTTATGTGCCTATGGCTAGTTTTGGTGGTTGACACACGGTATAATTTCACTACTACCGAATTTAATAGGTATACTTGAAATCACGAATCTTTGTCCCTGCGTCATTGATTTGTGAATCAATTTCAGACAAGTTTTTTATCGATTTCGCATACTTGACAGATATTACAGTGTTTTAGCGTATGTCTGAAATTGATTCACAAATCAATGACGCAGGGACAAAGAGTCGTGATTTCAAGTTTATACGATATATATTTTAATAAATTTGGCAGTTGATTATTTCTTTGTGTATCGTTATGTTATCTATGATTAATTATTGTTTACTTTTACACCCACGTTCAGGTAATATTCTTGTGCGCTGAAACAATTTTTATAGTTGTTTGTAGCATTATCTCCAAAGTATTAAGCAAACGCAAAGGTCCATACTTTGACAAATATGTACGCTACATAAAAGATACCCACAAAGATTAATCTCGAAATCGCATACAATATCTAGGCAATATACGCTCCTCCAGCCTTTCCTCATCAAGATCTTATTTGCAACGAAACTTTATAGGAGATAGAAAAGTGGTTCCAAGTGCAATAAATTTGATACATCTGATACTTCCCACGTTAATTTGTAACCTACACTTTAACCTTTAGAAGGGCAAGGTAAACTTTAGAGTTTCCGCGGGACTGGCATAAATATTTCGCACCGACGTAATCCCTCTGAAACAACTTTCAGTGGCAATGTTAGATAGATGTTACTGCAAAATGACAGATTTTGATTTTTTTTTAACACACGGGTAATGCCGGAATGTTGAGCATGTCCGCCTGTTTTTAGTTAGTTCTTTCATTTAGCCCAGATCAATAAGTGAAATGATACGGGGGGTTGCAAAGTTATAGAATATAGAAGTCGTAATTTGGGTTTGAGTACCAGCACTTCAGCCCACTGAATTAATTATTATTATAACAGAATAATGTCTCATTCTAAGACTGGAGATAATAAGGTCTATACGTCGAAAATCATAATATTGGATTTAAGGGATTCGTAAGGCGCCCAATTGTTTCCCTAACTTGGACCTGTTGGAATGCATATATAATTAACAAGTCATAATTTTCATCACGAAGACAACAGCAATGTTTGTTAATTTATTTATTCCATTGCCAGGAGCGGCGCTTGTATTTCATTTTATTGCAAACGCCTCGTTTCATTTCGACAAAAACTTTGCGCAATGCAATATCTGCATCATAATTGTCTCGCTCGAGCCTGGAGTGCCGTTTAAAGTTATACGACCTTTTTTGTGGTCGTCCGTTTGCTCAAAACAAGCTCGTATTTTCGAACTTGCGGAGCAAAATTAATTTTCAGCAATATGTATGTTCGTAACTGACGCGCGAGATGTGGGTAAACACACATGGAGGACGAAGACATGAACCATAGGCAATGAAATGAAATGAATTAACAAACGGAAGGTTTCCGCTAGTTTATTTACACGCCGATAAAAAAGCTCTTAAGGCAATGAACTGTCTTAACCAAACAACTGTACAATACAATGTCAATAAATCCTTCTATATTTATGGTGGGTTATTGGAGTACTTAATTACATTTTTATTTATACGGGTAAATTGATTGTGGCCGTAAAATTTGGCCAAAGTGTGGAGTTATTATACTTACTACATCTTTCGCATTAATTTACTTATTGTTTGATTAGCACTGAGCAGTTCGGTTCTAACTGCTAATGAAGTTACAAGCTTGTTATGTGGGGTATTTTATGTTGCAATCTCTATTTTCTTGCTGTCTTTTAATTCAGCGATCACAACATCTACATCATACCATTCAAATTCCCTATAGTTCCCAATGTAAGCCTAAAAACCTTCCTATGTAGGATAAAGTGGGGATCACTCCTTTTTTGGAATTTAATTGCGTATATATTTGGATGAAGTGTCGGCCTTGTTGAATACGCCATTTCAAATTCACCGCAATCGTTTTGGTAGCATAAATATTCAAATTCTATTACTCAGATTAAGATATATGGAAATAATACATAATAACTGTGTCAAAATAATCGTCATTAAAAACTATTAGAGCAAAAACTCAATGTTAACCGCCTTTAAATTACATAACTTAGCGCTATTTAATAATCACTTAGAAGTTACTGTTGAATAGTGATGTTCTTTTTATATGGTGTATACTGTATAGTATGTGTAAGAGAAATTTGTAGATGGACTCGATCTTCCATTTGTAAGTAACATTTGATCATAGGAGTAGGTATAGAAAAGAAATTATGTGAAATTTTGCCGCTGAATTTATAAATACCTTTGAAATTAATATGCAGCTCTTTTTCCGTAATTATTTATCTACTAAGTAAGGAAACTTGTTACATTTGAGCTCATTGATTGAACCTATTAAGGAACGATTCCACAATTTCACATTTCTTCACGAACTGTAGACGAACAAGGTAATCTATTATTTATATATTAAATGTTTACATCATTTCGCATCTTAATAGATTGGTACGTCATAGCAGACATTGCTCTTTCGAAGATGTTATCCTTGAACGAGAGCGCTCGTACAGCCTACAGGTTGTAATGTAGGTAACAATGTGCATTGGAATTGTCTTTACCTTACCTCTTCGTCCATATACCTTCACTTTTAGACCAAGTGACGTTTCCTTCAAAGTTTGAAAATTTGAATATAATTTGCAAGTTTTTAAAATTTGCAGTTTTATGACCTTACCATCGTAGCTTTTCGGTCATATACGTAACAAAGCTGTCGACACGTTAGGTTAGGGGTTTAAAATTACTTGGTCTTCAGTTTGACTCGTAGCTAATTGACGCAAAATTAGAGAAAATTATACAAACACCTCTCGGCAAAATTAACGTTCTACGAACTACACCGCGTCAATCTTTAAATGCCTTGATGCTGATTTTTTCTGAAGGTGTTTTTTAATCGCGGATGTTGATTGTCGTCAAAGTTATTCCTGAACTTTAGCTGTAAGAACGTTTCCAACTATTCTGCGAGTGGCTTTATTTTAATAGTGTGATAGAATATCCGTAAAAAGTGATTTTATTAATGATTAATCAGTGTCATTACCAAAATAACATGTATTTAACCATCTTGTTCGTGGCTGTGAGTTTAAAGATTTTACTGAATTGAACTTATTTGGTAAGTGGTCTCTTATGTGCAGTTTACGTTATGTGATTTTGCTTACGATTTCCCGTAAGATTTTTCATACGATTATTCATTCGAGTTTTGTTAGGGGTTTTTTGATGGATTTCTGTTTAATTATCCGATTTGCTATACCAACAATTACGAATAAGTATAATTGGACCCGAAAACATTGGAACTCGCAAATCGCAATCGTCAGCAAAATAACATAACGTAAACCGCACTTTAGTTTAGAGTTCCTCTATGGTTATATAGAATGGAATACCTTGCATTTTTGACAATTTGACTGTTAATTTTTTTACGACATTAGAGCCGAGGAAGGTTACAAAATTTCAACTTACCGCAATAACAAGCCATTCACGCACTAGCAAAAACTAATGTCTAAATTTTTTAATTACTTAATTGGCATTCCTACTTTACTACTTAATTAATATCACCTCCTACCTGGTAAAAAGTGAAATTTAATGGACAGTTCGTTTAGTCTCTCAATAAAATCACCATATTCCAAGTGTAGAAATTAAACAATACCTGACTGGAAGAAAATACAAGTTAGTGAACGAGCCAACTGAATCAAGTACCTACAGGCACATGGGAAACACATCCGTGCAACCTCAAATTAAATTAGTTAATTGATTGAAAACGAATACTCATCGTTCTTCTTTCAACGATGAATGCATATAAAAATCCAGCAAATAAAAAATCTTGGGTTGTGTTTACACAGAAACCTGCGGTTATTACAACAGGCAACAAACTATAACGCAGAATTTCGTTTTTTTATTTTTTTATTTTTATTATTTTATAATATAACAGAATGAGTCTTATGCATAATTTGGGTTTCCATGGCTTCACTTATTTACTTGGATATTTCCGAGGATATTCACTTTCTTTTCCACATTCCATTAATTAATTTGAAATAGTTTGTTGTTTTTTATTTAAAGTATCTTCTTGCTTTCTTGTGTTTATTATAAATTTTTGCTCCAATCTCTCCATTTTTCTGCAATAATTGGTTGGATTCGTTCCGCTGTTCCTCTTCTTCTGATAACCACTGTTAAAATTTGCGCCGCGAAGATTGTCCCGTGAATTCTGTTGGCGTTCTATGTACTTCACGCATTTCCTTTTGCTTCTAGGAGACTGTCCGTTTCTACCAGGGCTTGTATATTTCTATTTTCATTTAGGTACCTATTATTATTTCGTCGTGAAATAGTGTGCGGGCATTACACTACCTACAAAACACTTGAATTTTTATAGTGTGTCCTCGTACACATTCGGTATCTGCTATAATCTAAGAATGATTTAAATTTCTCAATTTGAGATATCGGTGGCCTCGTTCAACTTCCGAAAATTCCAAAAAATTTATTACACAACTTTTGGTTAACACATGTAATAAATCTAAATCTCTATCTGGGTCGCACTTTGGACTCGAATAAACACACAATTCATTAATTGAGAATGAAAAGCATTTATTCCGAAACACAATGAAACAAAATTAATACGAAAAGTAAGAAAAGCTTACAAAGCTTGTTTAGACATATTACTCCGCACGGAGGCGGTCGACAAGTAAAATAACAAATCATAAAATGACTGATTTTTTAAAATAATCCAGTTGATCTGGCTGTACAAAATTTGCAACACTACTTCACACGAATAGCTTATGAACTTCACTTTGATTGATAACTACTGATCTAAGCTTTTTATTACCTCTAATTTTATTGAAATCAGCAGTTTACCGAGCCTAATTTTTCCAACATACTAAGCGCATTATTAATTAGCACATAAAATTCCAAAACCTTCTGCATAATAACAAAGTTTCCCATGCAATCCCACCAGATCTGAGACATACTATATTTTTTCTTAGGTTAAAATCCATTAATAACAATTAAACTGAAAACATCTTGTGAAGATTGTAAACAAGAGTTAAGCAAGTTAGTAGTAAAAGTAACTGAGATTGTTACGAAATTGAGAAATTAGTAAAAACAAACGCTTCCGAGTGAAAATGATGAAGGAGGTCCTTTAGGCCAATCGGCGCTCGTAAACTTTCACGTTCAATTGTAATTGTTGGAAGAGTAGGGTGGTATTTGTATTTTATCGTTCAGTTCGCCGATGATGACATCCTTTTAAGATATTATTGTGGATGATTGCATAGAGTACTCTAGAAAAAAACAGAAAGGTATTGCAAAAATTAGTTACAAAATTGTGGAAAAGGAATGCTTCGAAAAGGTACTACCTAGAGGCACTTATGAGAATATGAAAAGTTGGATATACTTGAACTTTCCAGAGTCTCGCTTACTGGAGTCCCTTAAGTGCTTTGCGGAGCACTCGAACACACCTTTAGAGCAGTGTAAGCCATTTCGGGAGTTTCCATTTTCAATAAAGGCACCAAACGTGTAAAATATGTTGGTGGTCATTCTACGCCTTCTTAGATTTTAGTCCTGGCAGGTACCCATAGGTTTCGTTACATTTCCCAAAGCCTTATATTTATTAATTATTGTTGATGCTTCTAATTTTATCTTGCAGTTTCACTTTATCTTTAGGGTTATATAAGAAACTGCACTTTACCACTAGCGGTAGTGAGATTTTTGCACCCTAATTTAGAGAAAAAATATTTTACAGAATATTTACAGGGCATTCTAACATCTCTTTTAATTGAATATTCAATAATAAGAAGAATATTGATTACATCATTAAATGCTTAATGAGTTGCGATGGTTGTACACCGCTATTTCAGTATTTTTACTAATGACTTCGGAAGGAATTTAGCTACCTAAATTCATTAATTTCTATGTCTAATAACACGAAGCGCCCCGAAAGATTTTAGGATCTATAACAAGAGTCTTTTTGTCTTGTTTAACGCAACGTAAACGCGTTTGTCTTAAATCTTCGTTTACTTCGTGCCTAAACAATTTTGGTAATGTTCACAACGACCCTTGTCCTAAGATACGTCGACACATTAAAAGTGAACTCGCTAAAGTAATAAGTTCCTTAGGCACATCCTGCGATGATTAGAAGATTGACTCAATTTACCCATTATCCCCCAATAAATTAAAGAGCCTCTATTAACTACTTACTCAACTTCTGTGTTGGGCAATATTGTCGATTCTACTCGACAGACCGGAAAATCGACCTTTACTAATTGAATTAAAGCCACTTTTTACCCCACAGTGCAAAAACAGTAAAAGTATTTGCGATTAAATTGAAGTTTACAGTGGAAAGGTAAAGTAAATATGTCGGTAACCTCAAATAGAGCGGAATATTCTTAGAACATATAAACTATTACTTTTAAAAACAGCTGAGAATCCCTGTGTTTCTAATCTTAAAACGGGAAACCTATCAGAGTTGGTAGCGTAAACTCGTGCGGATCTACGAAAAAATCCACTCACACTAGTTCATTATTTAATAAATGGTGTATTTATTTTTTTAATCCTAGTCTTGTTGTTGGCAAAATATTGGTATGTATTTTCGGATTTCAGCTGTTTGAAATAAAAATAGAGGTTTGATACACTGGCCAAATTTTGCCGGTTTTAGAGAATTTGAAGCGTTTTATGGGTGTTCTACTTTTGAACATTGTCACACTAAACATTTAAGTAGTCACTCAACAATTGACTGCTTAGGCTTAGACGTACAAAAATACTATATACGCACTGTATATTTAAGTTTTTATTAAGGGACAGAATGAAGATTAACTGATGAAAAATTCTGAGCTGATGTCAAATTTCATTTAAAATTAATTCTCACTTTTTTTATTTAAAGATCGTTCAGAAAAAAATAAATTTCCGATTTCGTTTTTGGCTATCACCGTGAAAACCATTAATTTTTTATTGTTTGAACATGTTCGCACATTACTAGGTCACTTTAAATTTAAAATAATACTAAATAACTGAACAAATCTTGGACATCGAAATATGATGAGTACATTACAGCACAAATAAGCGCATTGGGATTGATTTACAAAGAGTGAAGTGTTCAAAGCTAAATAAATCACAATTCAAACCCGTTATGGATTTTTAAGTTCGTCCCGATAATGAGACAGTCGTAGATAATAGACGAGAGAATTACAGAACTTAACTTGCATGTGCGTAAATATTGTAAACAAAACTGGACCAAGGATTGCTCCTTGGGGTATTCCCTTTAATATCACGTTAATATCAGTAATCCACTTAACTTATTCGGATGAAATATAGAAATCCAAGGTTATTTTTTTTTCTCTCTAGAAAATTTGATTCGTGAATAATCATCGGTAACTATATAGGGTGTTTCATGAGGAATGGTTAATATTGTAACGTGATTTATAAATTCGGGTTCGATTTATATCAATATTTATTAAACAAAACTAAACACTATAAAAACCGTACAATTTATATCGATTATTTATATCACACACTTCGCAATTTATATTTCCGCGCTCGATGTTTCATACGTACTCGATCTCGTTCGGTAGTCAAAACTTCCTGCGATGTTCGGTCCGCAACTATTTATATACGCAAGCAATGTAAGTCCAGAACACTCGCATAATTACCGGATAAGTCTGGAATATTCCTATACAAATCCCACTATCGCGCGCGTAGAAAATTCCAGAGCGCCAAAAGCGACGTCATGTCTGGAGCGTTTCCGTTACAATATGTTTTATTTGGTTTTTTAGAGTTCTAGCTTCCAGTACTCTTGTCTACCAGTACCAATATGTTCTCTCAGCGTCAAGTGACGCAATACCTGAATCAAACCTTTGCGGAATGGTGGATTGATCGTGATGGTTCTATTAGTTGACCAGCTCGGTATTACGGAATGTGGGGATGGCTGAAAACCGATGTTTATCAAGTAACAGTAAACACGCTCGTATGATGGCCAGTGCTGCACGAATCAAGTCACATCAGGATCAGCAAAGTGCTTCGAGTTAGGCGGTGGGATATTCGCATGCTTCATTTAAAACCCGATTTTCGATATTTTACATTTAAAAAAATCATTAAACATTAACTGGCTGTATATCAGTATGAGAATTGAGCACA